TCACCTCTGCACACAGAGTACCAGGAACTCACGCACAAGCCTGGACAGGCCCCAGAGTTCCGTGCACATAGACACACAGACACACAGACATGGGCAGGCTCAGGCAGAGCCTTCCACACAGACATCCACACAGCCACTCTGTCACTCTGGAGGTGGCACTAGACGGGTGGGAGTTGGGGCAGTCACAGCACTTATAACACATATCCCGTTTCTGAGCTGATGTGACCATGAGACCCTTGTGGGTCCCCGCTCAGGCTCAGGTGGAGTGGGCCGGCAGTGTAACCTCACAGGAGGGAGGCCACACCCCCTTGTCCTGCCCTCTGTGGCTTGTTGGGCTGGATTTTCCTGCAGGGCTTTTGGATTTTGTTTTTGAGCCACTCGAGTGTTGATCGTGTGCCAGGCACCATGCCAGCGCAGGGAAAACGTGTGCAAAGTTGTTTTGAGTAAAGCGCTCAGTAAGTGTGGGTTATTATGGACATTATTATTTACATACGTAATCTCGTTTCTTCTCATAACAACTCTGTGAGGCAGAGGGCAATTATTGTTCCCATTTTGCAGATAAGGAAAGTGGGGCTCGGAGAGGTTAAGTGGCTTGCCTTCTGAGCAGTAGAGGCTGGATTGGAACCTGGTCTCTGATGCCAGTATATGCTCTCAATCTGTCCAGTGGGCTAACCAGTGGGGAAGACCTAATGAAATCTGCCCGCAGGAGTGGAAGGATCACTGGCAGCCGGGTTCATCAGCACACCATGGCTCTTAAACTTGAGACACAGGGTGGAAGAGGGGAGAGAGGAGGGCAAGCATGGAGGGCGGTCCCCACGTGAGAAAGCAGGCTGTGCAGGCCCTGTGCTCGCTTCAGGGCTGGTGCCACCTCCCATCCCGTGGTCATTTTGTTCCGTGTGCTTCCAGCAGACATGAGGGGTCGTGGACCGCCGGCACCCAGGCTTCCCTCCAACCTGGCTTGCCTTTGTCTGAGGGACCCTGGGCAGCTTGCCATCCACCGGGCTAAAGTGGAGGGGGCGTTGAGCTGCCACCTGGAGCTTGTGCTTATCTCGGACTCTTGGCATTTCTGTGTCTGGACGGAATCCAAGGGTGGCTTCCCGCTTAGAGCTGTAGGTCCCACCCAGGTGGAAATGCCCTCCGGTGTAGGCAGATAAGCCTTGGCAAGCCAGAGGCAGCCCGTGCTTTCAGAAAACCTTGAGGGGTGCAAGAGATAAAGAAGGGGTGCAGGAACTGTGTGCCTTGATCTCGCTGAGTCGCGTGGGGCTCCTGTGAGCTGCGTTCTCCGTGTTGTCCGAGTTATACACATGAGAAACCACAGCGGAGTGAGCGGCTGTCGTCGGGAAGGGCCTGCTTGGTGCCCCTCAGAGTGTTGTCCTCCTCCCGAGTCACCTGGAGCTGGCCCGGTGGCTGTCTTGCAGAGCAACAGTTTCAGAATCTCTGGGGAAGGCCTAGAGTCCAGATGTTTCAGGGGTTGGGGGGTGGTGGAGCTTTCTCTCGCCTCCCAGTGTGAAGAGCTGAGGGTTGGGCGTCTTGGACGTAAGGAGTTAAGAGTTGGGAGAAGAGGCTCTTGGTAGTTTAAAGAGAGGGCACCTTTGGGTGACTGCCTCTGGTGCCAGTGGCAGAGTTAAGCTCTGACCTCAGGACCTTTCCTCGTGAATTATAGTGCAGCCCCGTGTCTAACTCTGGGTTACAGGAGGGTGCCAGCCACACATATTCCCCTCAAACTCCTAGTCCTCCCTGCCACCACCTTCCATTCCCGGGAGACCTCCTGGAGAGCAGCTATGGGCCCCTCCCTGTCCATCATCCTATTGACTGGAGATGGTAGCCATCCCACGTGTCCCAGCAGGCTTATTGGAAAACCCCGCCTGAGAGCTTCTTCAGCATCTCGTGCCATGGTGAAAGGCTTCTGTCAAAGGACTGGTGTGTCTTCCTGTTCTTGAGTAGTGAGAACCAAGTTACTTCATTTCCCTTTTCCCTGTGGCCACCAGGGGTCTTGGTGCTTAATGCGGAACCCACCCCTAAGAGCTGTGTGAAGACCGTGTGACCTGCTTATGTGACCTCTCTTCCCCTCCTAGCTTAGAGGTCTTCTTCAGCTCGGTTTTTCTCTGCTCCTGATTTTAATGCTTCTCTTTCGCCACTTTCTTGCATTGTGTTTCCTTACCTCTTTCTGGAACCAGGCTGAGGGTATGTAAAAACATTGGACATACAAACACACATGAAGTCATCTCCACGTTGCTTGGCTGGCATGCTGCCCCATGGCTTCCCGGCTCTGGGAGTCTTGTTTGTTTGCATGGTCTCGACCCACTGGTCAGCTGGGACATGCCTGAGGCTGCTCAGGGGCTGCTTTCTGCTTGTCTTTGTGTCCTGTCTTCAGCCGCTTAGAATTTTTTAAATAATTTCTCTCTGAACCCATTAGTCATTCAAAGCATAAACAGCACACTAATGGGTCAGTGGGCGTTGACTTGTTTCATTTTCTCCTCCTAAATTTGTATCTTTTACATTATACAGGTATAGGTTGCTTATTGTAAAGCCCCCAAATAATACATTTAAGGGGAAGAAATACCCGTGGTTCTTCTAGTAATTGCTTTATTCATTCTTCTGTCTGGATTTTTTTTCTCATTTAATATTTTTCCCACAAAGTGAAATAATCTGACCAGAGATATTTTATAACCTTCATTTTTTAGTAATAGATAACTAGTATCTCCTAATTATTACATCTTCTGCAACAATGAATCGGCCCTAAAATTTTCTCAGTGGTACTATATATTTTTATGTATGTATGTAAATGCGTGAGGACTGGCCAGACGGCTCAGGGTAATGGCGCTGCTGTTGCCAAGCTTGACAGTCTGAATTCAATCCCCAGGACTCACATGGTAGAAGAGAGAACCAGTTCCCAGAAATTGCCCTCTGACCTACACACGCATGCATGCGTGCACTCATACACACCCACACCCCTTCACTCCCCCTTTTAAATGTTAATTAAGCAAGAAAGACTTTGCTGTAAGAACCAACACTGTCCTGGCCTCTGCTCTGTGCCCTATTCACAGAGCCACCTCTACCTCTGGGTTGCAGAGAGTTCCCATGCTACCCATGGACACTGGTTTCCCTGGACACTGGCATGAAATGCTCACACCGCCGTCTCTTCCATCTCTAACCCCTTGGCTTGCTGCTGAGAAAATGAGGTTTCTGTCACCCTTGCCCTCCCTTCATGCCCGTCACCTTCCCACCTTTGCTGTTGCTTTTGCCACTTAAAGTAATACACTTGCCCCGGATGTTGTGGTGCACGCTTATCATCCCAGCACACAAGAGGCTGAGGCAGGAGGATCATGATTTTGTACTAGTCTGGGCTTTGTAACAGAGCTACCTCAAAAAGTCAAGCAAGCAAACTCCAATTGGGCTAAGGTTATACCACACGGTGGTGTAGGCTGAGTGTCACCCACAATCAAAATAGCAATACACTTTAACATCTTTTTATTATTTAAAGAATTTTTATGATTTATTTAACTTCATTTTATGTGGATTGGTATGAAAGAGTCAGATCCCCTGGAACTGGAGTTACAGACAGTTGAGCTACCATGTGGGTGCTGGGAATTGAACCCTGGTCCTCTGGAAGAACAGTCAGTGCTCTTAACCACTGAGCCATCTCTCCAGTCCCCTTAAGCATCTTTTTTAAATGTCTGATATAATCCTTGATTTTGTTCTGTCTGTACATACATGCATACGTGCTGTTAGGGATCAAACCCAGACCCTTATACATTAGACGAGCATGTGCCGAGCCACACCCCAAGCCCTAGCATGGCATTGTGACCCTCTTTGCTCCTAGGAGGGACAGCAGAGTCCCATCCACCCCCCACCCCCAGTCATGCAGTCTGTCGCACATTCATGTTTTCGAGCTCTGGACTGAGGACATTCATGCTCTGTCTAGTAACTAAGTCTCCATGGGTGCTGGGGGCTCTGGCTTGAGACAGAGGGGTTCAGTTGTATCCCTGCAGGGTCAGGGAGGGAGAGGGCTGCCCTTGCATTTCCTTTTCTTTGGCCAGATGCTGTCAGAGGGGGGTGTTAAATGTACCAGCTTTCTTCTCTGTTATAGTATTTTATTTTTATGTATGCTTGCACACTGCCATAGCATTCACAGGGGCGTCAGAGGACACCTTATGGGAGTTCCCTCCCTCCTACTACCCTCTGGGTCCCAGGTACTGAACTCAGGGGGTCAGGCTGGTGGCAAGTACCTTTACCCACTGAGCCACCTGCCTGTCCTTTCTTAGGTTCTATTATGTACTCACAACCCATGACTTTATATTATAATTTGCTTTGTAATTTGACCCTTCTCTCTCTTAAAATGGGGTCCCACTTAAGTAAACCCAGATTGGCCTCCAACTTCTAAATCTGCCTCATCCTCCCGTGTGCTGGGATTACAGGCATATACCATCATACCTAACTAGATTATGAATTTCTTTATTTTTTTAATTTATTTACAAAGTATACAGTGTTCTGCCTGCATGTGTGCCTGCTGCAGGCCAGAGGAGAGCACCAGATCTCATTACAGATAGCTGTGAGCCACCATGTGGTTCCTGGGAATTGAACTCAGGACCTCTGGAAGAGCAGCCAGTGTTCTTAACCTCTGAGCCATCTCTCCAGCCCCTAGATTATGAATTTCTTACACAACTTAGTTTGCTTATTTTCTCGAGTTTCTAATATATTGCTTTTTACCAGCTGTATAATATTCCACTGAATGGATTATCATAATTATTTTTGTCTGGTCCCCTATCCTTGGACTCTTTCTCGATGATATGAATGGAGCTATAATTAATGTTCTCCTCCATGTTTCTCAGTGCATTTCTTTCATACATTTGAGTGTGTCAGAAATGCCCTTTGTACCCAACCTATTGTCCCAGCTTCTTGCCAAGAAAACCTGAAAATCTGTCTTAGATTAAATTCGATCTTTCTTGAGATAAATGGAAAAGGCCATTCTCAGGCAATGCCCGTCTTCCTCTCCCTAGGCTCTGAAGAAAGGCCGATTCGGAAATTTGAAGCCGAGAACATCTCCAACTACACAGCCCTTCTGCTGAGCCAAGATGGCAAGACGTTGTACGTGGGGGCCCGAGAGGCCCTCTTTGCGCTTAACAGCAACCTTAGCTTCCTGCCCGGCGGAGAGTACCAAGAGGTGAGGGGGGCAGGTGGATGGAGAGGGGTGGCTGGGGAGCTCAGCCTGCAGATCAGAGGGTGCTTTGGGCAGGAGAGGAGCATGGCACTACAGACCTCCATGCCCTCACACCTTTTTCCCCTTCTTCTTCCTTAGCTGCTATGGCGAGCAGATGCTGACAGGAAGCAGCAGTGCAGCTTCAAGGGCAAGGACCTGAAGGTGAGCCTGAAGTCGGGGAGGGGTCGAGCAGAACTGAGCAGATATTCAGTTATGGGAAGTGCGTAGCATGGAGATAGCCAATCCCAATCCCATCCTTTGTGTGGTCTTGAACAAGTGGATTCATCTCGCTGAGCCTTACAGTTCCCACCTGTAAACTGGGGGTCCAGGGCCCCTGACACATAAGCAGTGCCAAATTACCCTTAGCACCAACAGGGACTGGGTGAGGTGGCAAGCATGTCTGTAAAAGGTTTCCAGTAAAGGAACAAGCCTGGCAGATTCTAGTTTGGTTTTGGCAAAGACATTAGGTGGGGTCCAGCCTAGTACAGGATTCTCCTGAAGGACATCTCGCCATCTTCCCAGAAGCCGCAGGTCCCAAATAGAGCAAGTGATAATCAAGACAGCCTTCAGGTCAAGTCCTGGCTGCCCCTACCCAATCATGCTTCATTCTGCAGTCAGTTAGCAAGTACTTGTTGGCAGCATGGAGATGGAACCCAGCGCCTCCCACACTAGACGAGTGTTCTGGCTGTGAGCTGAGCCTCGGCCCCTCTTCAGAACTTGTAGTGTTAGCTACTAGAGACATTATAAAGAAGTAAAACCATGCCTATAATCCCAGAATTTGGGCAGGAGGATTAGAAGTTCAAGGTCATCCTTGACTATATAGCAGATTGACAGACTGAACTCCAAGACACTATTTCAAAAAGCTAAAAACAAAGGAAGAACCAATGAAAAATCAGTTCGTTTACAAGGTGATCGTGAAAAAAAAAATGGCTGGAGAGATGGCTCAGCAGTAAGAACATGAGCTGCTCTTCCAGAGGCATCCACAATGACAGACAGCCCACAGCCTTCTGTAGCTCCAGGGGACCCAGCACCCTCTTCTGTCCTCCACAGCACCAGGCACAAAAGCGGTCCACACATAGATGTGGGCAAAACACTTGTACACATAAAAGGAAAATAAATAAATCTTTAAAAAGAAAGCAGTTTACATGCTGAAAAGACATTTGAGCCTTTAAGATTTAGAGGAAGGTAAGGAGCTTGGCTGAAATACGCAGAGAGTGAGCAGGACTTTGGGTTCTGTCTGAGCAAATCTCTTTGGACACCAGTGGAAATCAGGCTAAGCGAAGAAGTGGCATGCTTTGCCTTCGTTTGTGCTGCTTTACAGAACTGGGACTCAAGCCCAGGGTCTCATACAGTTTAGGCAAGTGCCCTACCACGGAGCTACATTCCTGACCCTCTGTTTTTGAAGCAGGTTCTCACTCTGTAGCCTAGACTGGTCTTGGAACCCAGACTGGTCTTGAACTTGTGATTTTCCTGTCTTGCCTGTATTTTAAAAGCTTTGCATTGAGCTGGGCATGTTTGCACCTGCTTGTAATTCTCGTGAATTGTAAGGCAGAGGATTGCTAATTCCAGGCCAGCCTGGGCTACATGGAGAGACTCTGTCATAAATAAAAATAAGTAGGTCCCGTTATGTACAGGATAGAGTGTTGTATGATGTTTTACTTTTTGAGGGGCCCACTGTCTGGCTCCCAAATAAATCACACACAGAGGTTTGTTTATTCTTAGTCATGAATGCCCAGCCTTAGCTTGACTTGTTTCTTGCCAACTTTTCTTAACTTAAATTATCCCAACTACCTTTTGCCTCTGGGCTTTTATCTTTCTCTGTTTCTGTGTGCCTTCCTTTACTTCTTTCTCCATGGCTTGCTGTGTAACCGCTGACATTCTCCTCCCCTTGTTCTTCTGCGCCTCTTAATCCTCTTCTATTTATTCTCTCTGTCTGCCAGCCCCGCCCATCCTTGCTCCTGCCTCGCTATTGGTCGTTCAGCTCTTTATTAGGCAGGCAAAGGAACACAGCTGCACAGAGTTAAACAAATGCAACATAAACAAAAGCAACACACCTGAAAATACTCCCCAACTGTAGAGTGTTCTCTCTGGGGCTGGACGCAGGGAGGACCCTGGGGTTAAGCTATGACAGTGCTTCATCCAAGGTACGATCCATAAAGGGGGTGAGAAGTGGTCAGGTTCTGGAGTTTTGGCTCTTGAATGCTTACCATCCAGAAAGGTGTGAGGTTTGAGAAACACCAAGGCCAGGGCCTCCCTCTGGGAAGATGGAAAGAACCCAGGGAGTCTTGGGAGAGTCGATGTCACCGAGTTGGGAATTCCTGTTAGATACCTTATGGAGGTGGCATTTGTGCCAGGGGTTCAGGGCTAAGCAGTTCTTCCTGCTTTGCCTTCTGTTTCCTCGCGGGATTGGAGAAGAGTCTCAAGAGGGCCCAGATACTCCAAGGGGTGAGCCCCCACCCCAGGGTGCTGGTCACCAGAGAGGAGCATTTGCCTGTCTAGAAACTAACTCAGCTCCAGGATCTTCTGCAGTGCAGACCCTGCGAAAGCTCTGCCAGCCAGCCCGCAGCTGCTGGTTTCTCTGTTCTCTTTCTGTTCCTCTCAGATTCCCAGCAAAGGCCCTGCCCCTAGGCCTGGCCCTGGGACTGGGGAGGAGGCCTCTGCAGTGCCCCCTGGTGGCATATGTGGACCTGACGGTTTTTCTCCTTCCCCACAGCGAGACTGTCAAAACTACATCAAGATCCTTCTGCCACTCAACAGCAGCCACCTGCTCACCTGTGGCACGGCAGCCTTCAGCCCCCTGTGTGCCTACATTGTGAGTTCTGCTACCCTGGGGCTTGGCTGCAGCTGCCTGGGCACAACCTTTCTTTGCAGGGGGGGGGCGGGGAGGAAGGGGTGCCCTCCTCTAGCCCTGACTCCTGGTGAAAGAAGGCTCCTCAGGGCAGGCTTCTAGGCCGCAGTGGGCTCTTGAGACTCCCGAGCCCATCATTCTGGCTGCTGCCCAGCCCCCTACTATGTCTCCCTGCCGAGGCAGGGAGAGGTGCATGCAGCCACCTTGCCCAGAGATCCTGACTTCCGCTCTCTTCTGCCCTCCGGACTTTCCCTTGCTGTGCTTCACGCTCTCACGTCACCTCGCGCACCCTCAGCCTACGCCCTCCCTGTGTTCCTCCTCCTTGCCCTAGCATACGAGCAGAGAGTAGCATTAAGGCTGTGTTTTGGGACACAGGCCTTGGAGTCAGAAGTCCCTGGGTTTGCATTGTCTTGCTCTCCCTGACTCTAGGACTATTTTCCAAGCCTCGTCTCTTTTCTGCTTACTGGGGATTAGTGCCCGCTGCACACATGCCTTCACGTAGAGCGTGGGGTAAGGAGGACGTGTACTTTGGTACCTGCACAGGTCCCTGCTGTGCACTTCCCTGCTGTGCACTTCCTTGTTCCCTGCCTTGAACCACTTATCTACTCCCCCACAGAACATAGCGAGCTTCACGTTAGCACAAGATGAGGCCGGCAGTGTCCTCTTGGAGGATGGCAAGGGCCGTTGTCCCTTTGACCCCAACTTCAAATCCACGGCCCTTGTGGTTGGTAAGTGGTGGTGTAGGCTGGGTGCTTTTGGGGTTTATGGAGTTGGAAGATACACAGGGCAGGAGAACTGAGTCTGGGATGTGTCTAGGCTCTGGGCAGTGTGTGTCCCAGGGCTGAGCTGGTGTCTCCATGCTGTGCTGGTTCCCAGCAGGCGTTGAGTGACCCTGGGCTGCCCTCCCATTTAACTCTTCCAAGTTCCTGCTTCCGCCTAGGCAGGATGGATGGGGCTGTGGTCACTGTGGGCCCTGAGCAGGGCACAGGGGCCTGGGCCAAGGGAGCCATTCCCATGGGAACATTCTCTTGGCAGATGGTGAGCTGTACACTGGAACAGTCAGTAGCTTCCAGGGAAACGACCCAGCCATCTCCCGGAGCCAGAGTTCCCGCCCCACCAAGACTGAGAGCTCCCTCAACTGGTTACAAGGTGGAGTTCTGCCTCAGGCCCCCTGAGCAGTCAGCCCTTGGGAGGGGACATTGTCCCAAAAGTTCCTGGACTAACTGTGTACCCTTCTGGCCTCTGCAGACCCTGCCTTTGTGGCCTCAGCCTACGTTCCTGAGAGCCTGGGCAGCCCAATCGGTGATGACGATAAAATCTACTTCTTCTTCAGTGAGACTGGCCAAGAATTTGAGTTCTTTGAGAACACCATTGTGTCCCGAGTTGCTCGAGTCTGTAAGGTGTGTGGGGGTGGGGAGCGGGTTTGTCCACCTAAAGGACAACCCACATCTGTGTCCCCCGGGGACACAGCTACCTGTCTCTTCTTCATCTTCCTCTTCATTTTTTTAGGCAGAGTCTCGCTATATAATTCTGAGTGTCTTGGAACTCAATATGTAGACCAGGGTAGCCTTGAACTTACAGAAATCCACCTCTCTCTGCCTCCCAAGTGCTGGGATTAAAGGAGAACATCACTGTGCCTGTCTGGCCTCCCTCCTTTTAATTGAGAAAATCTCACATTGAAGGTAGTGGTGACAGTGCACACCCAAAATCCTGGCACTTGGGGAGCTGAGAGGTCGGGAATTGCAAGGTTAAGGCCATCCTAGAACACATACCAAGATCCTATCTTAAAAACTTGGGGTTGTTTGTTTTGTTTTTCAAGACAGGGCTTCTTTGTGTAGCCCAAGCTGACCTGGAAATAGCACTGTAGACCAGGCTGGCCTCAAACTCACAGATCCACCTGCCTCTGCCTCCCGAGTGCTGGATTTAAAGGCGTGTGCCACCACTGCCCAGTTATTTATTTATTTGTTTATTTTGAGACAAGGTTTTTCTGTGTAGCCTTGGCTATCCTAGAACTTACTCTGTAGACTGTGCTGGCCTCAAAAAAAAAAAAAAAAAAAAAGGTGTGCGCCATCCTGCTTTAAAAACTTTCTTAATAGTAATAGTGCCTCTCTTAGAGAGGGGCTCATGTATCCCAGGCTGGCCTCAAACTCACTGTGTAGCTCAGGATGACCTTGAACTTCTGATCTTCTTGCTTGTGTTTCACACCTGGTTTACCTGTGTTGGGGCTCAGGTTGGGGATTATAAATATTAGGCTGGCACTCTACTAACTGAACTATGTCCCTTTGGAAAAGAAGTCTCTGGCTTTCTCTTGAAAACTGAAAATCCAGGTTTATGGTTCAAACTCTAGTCCTCACTTGTTAAACGGCAGTAATAACACCACTGCCATCAGAGCTGCCGCGTGGGTTAGGTTCTGCCGTGGAAAGCTGGCCAGTGACGGCACACGTCTTTAGTCCCAGCACTTGGGAGGCAGAGGCAGGCAGACCTCTGTGAGTTCGAGGCCAGCCTGGCAATGACCTGCCATCCCTACAAGAAAGGACCACTGTTAACATTAAAGCATTCTTTGCTGATTTGTTAAAGCCGATGTATTTGTATTAGCTTTGTTACAAAGCTGAGTTGTGCTATTTCAAGGTGCTTTAGGCTCCTTATTTGCTCAGTAATCCAATCATGGACTCCTTTCCCTATTGTTTATTTATTCATTTATGTGCTTATTGGGTTGAAGTCCTACTGCGCTCCCTGGCTGGCTGCAGCTCCTAGACTCGGGATCTGCCTGAGTAACTTGAAGCATGCCCAACGATGCTGGCATGCTGGATGGCATTGTGCCCCTGAACTGTCTTCTGTCCCTTCCCCTCGGTCTTTGTTTGCTCATCCTTCACTATAGGGAATGCACTTTTGTGATGGGAAACACACACATCTTCCTACGTTTTCCCAATTTTTAGTTGCATGTCTGTCTTGGCTTTTTTTCTTCATTCCTGTGTCTGTGTCAGCTGCTGCTGAGGAGGGCTGGCAAGGCAACACCATGCCTCCACCTGTGGCCCCGGTCTGTGACTAAGCCAGCGACCCCTCTTCTCCTCCCAGGGCGACGAGGGTGGAGAGCGGGTACTGCAGCAGCGCTGGACCTCCTTCCTCAAGGCTCAGCTCCTGTGCTCCCGGCCCGATGATGGCTTCCCCTTTAACGTGCTACAAGATGTCTTCACTCTGAGCCCCAGCCCCCAGGACTGGCACAAGACTCTTTTCTATGGGGTCTTCACCTCCCAGTGGTGAGTGAGATGCTAGGATTTAGCTGAAGACAGGAGGGTAAAGAATGGCTAGACCCCACTGACCCAGTCTTGAACCCCGATTCCCATCTCGGAATTAATTTGGCTGTTTCTTCGGCAGGCACAGAGGGACCACAGAGGGCTCTGCCATCTGTGTCTTCACCATGAATGATGTGCAGAAGGCCTTTGATGGCCTGTACAAGAAAGTGAACAGAGAGACACAGCAGTGGTATACTGAGACACACCCGGTGCCCACGCCCCGGCCTGGAGCGGTGGGTATCAATAGTTGACTTTGAACTCCTGATCCTCCTGCCTCCGCCTCCTAAGTACTAGGATTGCAAGGAGGATGTCACCATACCCAGCTTTGCGCGATATTGTACAATACTATTACTGTCCCTTTGCTCTGTCAATCAAGTCCTCCTTATCTAATTATCAAGTGACTAGATGACCAGATCATAGGTAACAGTCCTTTCTTACTTGCTTGGAACCTAGTAGACCAGCAGGGTATGAGTGCCAGCAGTTTGCCTGGGAGGTGATGCTGACAAGCAGCGTGAGAGAATGAACAGGTGCAGGTGGCAGGACCACTCTGGGCTGCTGAGTCTGGACCCTTCCCAGATACCACACGGAGTTGTGGAGCTATTCCATCTCAGACGCCGATGCCGATCGGGCTGGAGCTATTGTAGTGTACGCCATTAGTTGCCGGTCACTGGGCATGTTACCTTGTGCACAGAGAAACCCTTGCACAGGGAGAAACAGGACCCGGGCAGTTATGGGACTCAGCTGTGGCTGGCTGTACGGTGATATCAATCAGCCCTAGCTTGAGGATCGCAGGGTCAGACGCTATGCAAGACGAGGAGTCACACTTTTTGAGGCCTGTTTGCAAATTTGGTAAGGGGCAGTAGGCAAGGGGTTTTCTCACAGGTTCAATTTGTCTTTGGACCAGCACTGTGTTCTGGAGCTCAGTGGGTGGGACGGGGCTGGCCACACTGTCCCCTGTGGAGGCGTGCCTCCTCTCTGATTCCTGTTGCTCACGTCCTGCTTCTGCCTTCTTCAGTGCATCACCAACAGTGCCCGGGAACGGAAGATCAGCTCGTCCCTGCAACTCCCAGACCGAGTGCTGAACTTCCTCAAGGACCACTTCTTAATGGACGGGCAGGTCCGCAGCCGCTTACTGCTGCTGCAGCCACAAGCCCGTTACCAGCGTGTGGCTGTGCACCGAGTACCTGGCCTGCACAACACTTACGATGTCCTCTTTCTGGGCACTGGTGAGTTCTTGCAGCCAAGCAGGGTTGAGTGAAGGAGAGGAATCTGTGTGGTGGTTGGTGGATTCTGGGCAGTGGGCTCCTTCAGGGCCTGAACTCTGTCCGTGTTTCCAGGCGACGGCCGCCTGCACAAGGCGGTGACCCTGGGCTCCAGGGTGCACATCATTGAGGAGCTGCAGGTCTTCCCTCAAGGCCAGCCTGTGCAGAACCTGCTCTTGGACAGCCATGGGGTGAGTGGGCTATAGAGTGAGCGTGGCACCGAGCCAACTCTCCCTCCCCTGCCTAAGCCAGATGGAAAGTTAAGGAGCCCTGACTCATGGCCATCAACAGGACGTGGGCAGAACTTGTCAGATGTTCCCTGGGCTGGCTGTAGTGAGGGTCTGAGGCTAGTGTGGCTGAGTGCCGGGACCTCACTCTCCGTGTTTGGCTGTGTAGGGGCTGTTGTATGCTTCCTCCCATTCCGGCGTGGTGCAAGTGCCAGTAGCCAACTGCAGCCTGTACCCAAGCTGCGGAGACTGCCTTCTGGCCCGAGACCCCTACTGTGCCTGGAGCGGCTCTAGCTGCAGACCCGTCAGCCTCTACCAGCCTGATCTGGCCTCCAGGTGAGAGCTCCCAAAGTCCCTGAATGCTCATCGACTCTGAGCACCCCAATCTTCTCTGGGACCCCCTGCAAGGTCCCAATTCTATCCACATCTCCATGTGTTTATTTCTTAGTTTCCTACTTCCCTCAAAGTCAGTATGGGCCGGATAGGCAGTTTTTGCCTTAGCTGCCTGAAAAGGGGAACAGGGTTTGGTAGGAGATAAAACATCTAGTGTGGATTGCCGTGTGCACGGAGCCCGCTAAGGACTACAGTGACCTATTAAACCAGTAAAAAAATGTTAGAGTAACATTTGATTTGAAAAGTCTATTTAGAAAATAGGGATTTGGCTTAATGACACACACCTTTAATCCCAGCATTTGGGAGGCACAGGCAGGAAGATCTGTGAGTTCAAGGCCATCTTGGTCTACATAATGAGACCCTGTCTCAATTAAAAAAAAAGGATGAGGCAGTTGTGATGGGGGGCATGCCTATAATCCTAGTACCTGGTTTTATTGTTGTGTTTTTTGTTTTATTGAGACAGGGTCTCATGTAGCCTAGCCTGGCTTGGAACTCAGTATATAGTTGTGAAGGATCAATAGAAAATAGGGTGGCCGGAACATGGTGGTGCATGTCTATAACCCTAACACTCAGAAGGTAGAGACAAGAGAAATTCAAGGGCATTCTCTGCAACATAATGAGTTTTCAAGGCCGGAGAAATGGCTCAGCGGTTAAGAGCACTGGGTGCTGTTGTGGAAGACCCAGGTTCCATTTCCAGCACCCATGTCAGGCAGTTCACAGCCAGCTCCCTGTAAGTTCATCTCCAGGGTTGGCATCCAACCGTCTGGTCTCTGGTATGCACACACCTGGCACATGTAGATACACATCCATGAAGGTGATAAATCTTTCTTTTCTTATTGAGAGAGCCGGGATGCGCACAAGGCTGAGCTGCGTCGTGCCTCCGCTGGCGGGATTTTAACACACTGCCCTCGTGTCTGTCTACAAATGTGTAAAACAAACAGTCTAATTGTTTTAATAAACATAGGCTGTCTCATCTCTAGCGTTCTTTTGTTTACAGGAAAAGGGACACAAATTAATGCATGCCTGGAGCATGGAAGCGTCACATTCCCTGTTAGTTTATTCTTGTTTCACAGAGGGTGCCAAATCTGGGGTCTGTTTTAAACTAGTTCAGGAGCTTCAGTATGGGGGATGGCGGTGCCTGCTCTTCCATCAGTTCCATTAGGAGGCAGGTAGAGGCGGAAGTCTGCAGTTCAGAGTCTCTCGTGATTACATAACAAGTTTGAGGCTAGCCTAGACTACATAAGACCCTGTTTCAGCCAGGTGCTATGGCACACGCACTCGGGAGGCAGAGGCAGGCGGATCTCTGAGTTTTGAGGCCAGTCTGGTCTACACATTGAGTTTCAGGACAGCCAGGGCTATATAGAGACACATTGCCTCAAAAGAAGCTCTGTTTCAACTTCCCTATCCTGCCCCAAAAAAAACAAAAAACAAAAACAACCCAGCTCTTTAAGGAGCTGATAGCCTGGAAGAACATACCCAGAATTCTGTCTTGGCTGCATAGCAGATTGTGGGGAGCTTCTGTAGTGTTGTTGTTGTTTTTCCTTTACGCTTGGTTGAGTTTTTTTCTTTTCCTTTGAGATGGTCTTAGTATAGCTCTGGCTGACCTAGAACTCACTATGTAGACCAGGCTGACCTCAAGCTCACAGATCTGTCTGTCTCTCCTTCCCCAAATGCTGGGATTAAAGATGTGTGCCACACTGCCTGGCTGAGTTTCCTAAGTTCTTAGTGCATGAAAACCCATCTTTCTTTTCGCACGTATAATCTCAACACTAGAGAAAGTAAAGTAGGAGGGTTGGGAGTTGGAGGCTAGTCTGGGCTAGCCTGGGCTACATTGGGGTTTTTTTTGTTTGTTTGTTTGTTTGTTTGTTTTTGCTTTTTAAAGAAAAGAATAAAAGGAAAGTTTTGGGTTTTTTAGACAAAGTCTTGCACTGGGGCTGGGCTATCCTCCTGCCTCAGCCTCTTGGGTTTTTAATGGGGGTGATGTATTTGACACAGGATCTCACCTAGACTGGTCTCCAATTCACTAGTCAAAGGTGATTTTGGATTTCTGTGTCTCCTGTGTCCACCTCCCATGTGTTAGGCACATTATGCTTTTATAGTGGAAGGGGATTGGGACTTTTATTTGTAATAATATGTAGACAGGGGACTGAGAAGATAGCTCAGTCAGTGAAGTACTTGCTTCAAATGCATGAGAACCTGAGTTGACTCCCAGAATACACATGAAATGCCAGGCATGGTGGTAGCAAGAGAGAGAGACAGGCAGATCCCTGGGGCTCACTGAACACCCAATGGATCCTAGTTGGTGAAGTCCAGGCCAATAAGGTGGATGACGTTCCTAAGGATGGTACCAAGGTTGTCTCCAACCTCCACATAAACGTGCACACACATAATTACAAATGGAGATGCCCAGTCAAGCATGGTGGTGAAGACTGCTCAGGGAAGTCTGTTCCCTGCTGCTTTGGACCTGGTGGTCCAGGTCTAGAGGGGGAGGGAACACTGGCCCATGGGGTTCTACCCAAGATTTTCTCATCCCCAGGCCATGGATCCAGGACATTGAGGGAGCCAATGCCAAGGATCTCTGCAATGCTTCCTCAGCCAGGGCCCGGATTTTGGTGCCACCAGGTAAGATGCCCTGGAAAAGGTGGGTCATATTTGCTTGGAAGATGACTCCAGGTATTTATAGATATAGGTTTTTCTTCTAGTCTTACAAAAAGGGGTTCAGGTGGTGAGTTTCGCTCAGTTCCAAGAATCACCCAAGTTAACATCTATCTTAGGGTTTTATTGCTGTGAAGAGGCACACTGATCACAGCAACTCTTAGAAAACATTAAGGATGTTAAAAAATTAAGGAAAACATTTCATTGGGACTGGCTTAGAATTCGGAGATGTAGCCCATTATTGTCATGGCAGGAGACAGACATGGTGCTGGAGAGGTAGCTAAGAGTTCTGCGTCTGGATCGGTGGGCCTGGCTTGGGCTTCTGAAACCTCACAGCCCACCCCCCAGTGACACACTTCCTCCAACAAGGCCACATCCCAATAGTGCCATTGCCTTTGAGTCTACGTACGGGGCCATTTTCATTCAAACCTCTGCACCATTATAGTACCAGAGCACAGCCAGGAGGATGGGACTAAGCCTGGGGTTACTCTAGCCACCGGCTCCTTCTACCCCTGTCTGTTCTGCCCACAGGCAAGCCCTGTAAACAAGTCCAGATCCAGCCGAACACAGTGAACACCCTGGCATGCCCACTCCTCTCCAACCTGGCCACTCGGCTCTGGTTATACAACGGGAACCCTGTCAATGCCTCTGCCTCTTGTCGTGTGTTGCCCACTGGCGACCTGCTCTTGGTGGGCAGCCAGCAGAGGTTGGGGATGTTCCAGTGTTGGTCAGTAGAAGAAGGATTCCGGCAGCTGGTGGCCAGCTACTGCCCAGAGGTAATGGACGATGGAGTGATGGACGAAAGGGACCAGCGTGATGGCGTCCCGGTCATTATCAACACGTCACGAGTGAGCGCGCCCGCTGGCGGCAGGGCCAGCTGGGGTGCAGATAAGTCATACTGGAATGAGTTCCTGGTGATGTGCGTCCTGTTTGGGTCTGCTGTGGTGCTTGTAGTTTTGTTCTTTCTCTACCGAAATCGGGATGGCATGAAGCTTTTCCTGAAGCAGGGCGAATGTGCCACTGTGTCCCCCAAGACTCGCCCTATAGTGCTCCCACCTGAGACCCGACCACTCAATGGTGTGGGCCCTCCTAGCACCCCGCTTGACCACCGAGGCTATCAGGCCCTGTCGGATAGCTCCCCCGGGCCCCGAGTCTTCACTGAGTCTGAGAAGAGGCCACTGAGTATCCAGGACAGCTTTGTGGAGGTGTCGCCCATGTGTCCCCGGCCCCGAGTTCGACTGGGCTCTGAGATCCGAGACTCTGTGGTATGAGAGCTGACTTGAAATGTGGCCACCCTGGCCTCGGGCTGTGAATGTTCAGTGGAGGTCAGCTAGACCTCTGCTTCTCACAGAACACAACCATGGTACCCTGCCTGGGAGGCAGCTGGTATCACAGCCCCGACAGCCCAGCCAGCTGGTTCCAGTGCCTGGCCGAAGATGGATCTGCCTCCAGGGGCCAGAGGGCCTTGTCCGGTGGCAGAACTCTGTTACTTAAACTGAGCCCTTTGTTTTAAAAGACAACCACAAATGTGAAGCCAGAGCAAGAGGAAGAAGACAGAGACGAGGAGGAAAACGACACAACCACCCCAGCCTGCCTGGAGTCTTGGACACTTAGCCAGAGTGGCTGTATGAGATGGAGTTGGGACTCCCTCCCTGACTGGCCTGTCCAACCTTCCGCCTTACTCTGCAGCCTTGGGCTGCCCTTTCTCAGTGCAGAGCAGGGGCCCTGATCCAGCTCCAGCCAACCAAGGACGCATCAGTGGCTGCTGACACCCTACCGCCTCAGGGACCCGAGGGCTAGGCTGGCTCTGCAGCCCTCCTCACCGGACCTGGGCCCAGTCCCAGTTCCTGGACTTACCAGGCCTGTATCAGGCTGTGGCCTCAAGAGAACAAGGGAGTGACCCCAGGGGAGCTGACGAGAGAAGACTGTTGCCTGCTGCCTTTTCCCCAGAGAACCATGACCCCGCCCACCTCGCCAGCCCTGTCTTCCAGTTCCGCCACAGGGACTGTTGAACTCTTATCTTCTCCCACTCCTAGGTCACCCTGCCCTGCCTGTCACAAGGGATACTGCCCATCACAAGGACCCTGAATTTACATGGGTTTTATATTTTTTTAATAAGATGCACTTTACTTTCTTTTTTAAATAAAATCTTGAAGAATTCTAGTTAATTGTGGCCCCGACTCTAGAAGGACTTTGCTTTGTGTGTGTGTGTGTAGACCAGAGGCTGTCCTTAGGTGTCGCCCTTAGGAACTGCACTCCGTTCTTCACACAGGTCTCATTAGCTTGGAGTTCACCATTAGAATAGAGTGGCTGGCCCGCGAGCCCCAAGGGTCCTCATGCTTCTGAGGCAGACACTTGACCAAGTGAGCAATCTCCCCAGCCTGGCTCTGCTTTGCAAAGTTTCGTCTTTCCAGGGTCCCAAGCCTTTTTCTCAAGGCTGCCTGCTGTCACCTGGCACAGGGTGACTCCCTTTTGTCCACATACAGTTCAGGGCACAAGGAAGGCCTATTTTTTTTTTTTTTTTTTTTACTCTGGAGTGTTTAAAATGGACTTTTCTTTGGCATGCCAAAGTTCTCACACGAGTGTGTCCAAAGTACGGACATGGTCAGCAGCAGCTCCTACGAGCCCAGTCCGTTGAGTGTCATACAAGGAAGTCAAACGTTTCTAACCCTTTATTACCGATTAGTAAAAACAGTGATGACAACAGCAATGAGAATGGGGAGTGGGCCCTCCCCTGCCAGGGGCCCGACGCTGCAGTGCCCTCTCCAGGCTGGGCCGGCACCGGCCCTGACACACAGGCGTGACCTTGGCCACCTCTCAGCAGTGGAAAGGTCTTGGACAGGATGCTGGTGCTCAGAAGCCATCACAGGACGATCTTAAAGGAGCTGCAGGAGGAAGGAGTGAGTTGGGTTTGGTGCTGGGGATCAAACCCAGGGTCCGACACAGGGCTAAACATATAAACTCTACCACTGAGCTATACCCTAGCCCGTGTTTGGTTCTCTGGTAGAAGATTGTATAGACCTTACTGATCATACCCACTTCTCTCCCATGACTAAACAAGCTCTAGCTGGCCTGGAATTCCCTGTGTACACCAAGCTGGCCTCAAATATGCAGTAGTTCTGCCTTGGCCGCCTGTGTGCTGGGATTATAGACCTGCACTGCCACAGTTTAAGATTCTTGTTTGAGGGGCTGGAGATGTAGCTCAGTAGACTGACTGCTTGCCTAAAATGTTTGAAACTCTGGGTTCAGTCCTTGGCACCACAGAAATGAGGCATCCCAGCACTCAGGAGGAAGAGGAAGGAAGACCAGAAGTTCAGCGTCTAGGTTACGTGTGGAGGTACGCAACTTTAATACTAGCACGAGGAAGGCAGAGGCAGGTGGACTTTAAGATCAGCCTGAGCCACATGAGACCCTGTCTCAAAAAAAAAAAAAAAACAAAAAAAAACTGGAGTGGGCTAGGTCCCTAGTGTGTCCCCTCTGGAAGACCATCCTAAAACATCCCTGTCATACTATCCCAGAGTGAATGGGTACTCAGAACGCAGGGGAGCTCCTGTCACACCTGGCAAAGTCTGGTGAACGGGAAATGACATGCTGGAACTCCGAGAGATTGATGGTCCCATCCCTGTCAATGTCCGACTCTTCCAGGATCTGGAGAGGGGAGGGCTTTAGGCTTCAGCCCCAACCCTTTCCACCCGACACCCCCAGGCCCAGGCACAGTCAGCTCACATTATCGATGAGCTGCTTCATCTCAGAAGGTTTGAGCCGCGTGTCCTCGCCATCTCCTGTGAGGCAGTTCACAAGCCGACTCAGGTCCTCTCTATCCAGGGTTCCGTCGTCATCAAAGTCTAGGCGGCAGACACAGCAGTAAGGACATGCGCAAGGCGTGTTCTGCTGGCACACACCTGGCCCCCACTTCCTGTGTGGGAAGGAATGGGGTCCTGCCTCCGGTGCTTACCAAAGATGCGGAAGGCATAGTGGGACTTGATGTCTGGGGTTGCTGTGTCACTGAAGACACTCAGGAGGTCTAGGAAGTCCTCGAAGCTCAGGCTGTCTCTGGTCGGGGACGTGGAGAAGACCATGCAGATTCGCTCCTTGAAGGGGTTGGCCTGGGTAAGAAAGCCTTCCATGAATGTCCCAGGGCACTGCCTGGGTGACATACTCAGCCAACTCAGCCGGAAACTTGAGGGAGGGTCGGATAAACTCAGGCTGATCCTCCTGTCTCTACCTCCCAAGTGCTGGATTTCAGGCGTGTGCCACCTTGACTGATTCCCTTCTGGGAACTTGAGGAAGCTGCTGACAGTGGTGTCACTACCTGGTGTTCAGGCTCAAACCCCTCTGAAGGTCTGACATGGAGGGCTCAGGAGGGACCACTAAGCCAGCCAGGAAAGGGGCAGAGATGTTCCCTGGGAGTCTAACTGAGGTATATCACGGCTGGAGTCGGCAGGAAAAGGAAAGCAAGGCAAAGCAACAAGACAAGCCGCTTATAACTGTAAGTGCACATGTGAGCACATGCCACCATACATGTGTGGAAGTCAAAGGATAACTTTCTATAGTCAATTCTCTTCTACCAAATGTTCCAGAGGTCAGACTTAGGCCCTCAGGCTTACAAGGCAAGTGTTTTTAGCCTCTAAGCTCCTTGGACCAAGTACCCTCCAGCTGGACCACGTTGGTCATTTTGAAATATACTTAATTGAATAATTATTTTGTTACAGAGCCAGGCTCTTTGCATAGAAATTTCATAACAGACAAGTGTTATAGTGCATGCTTTTAATCAAGCACTAAGGAGGCAAAGTCAGGTGAATCTCTTAGGAGTTCAAGGATAGCCTGGTTTACATAGCGAGTTCCACCCAGGCTAGCTAGGACTCCACCAGTGAGACCCTGTCTCAAAATAACAATAACAACAACAGCAACAACCCAATTATAATTATTATTATTCACAGCAAGCTGGGCATGGTGATGCTTGCCTTTAATCCCAGTGCTCAGAAGGCAGGTAAAGGAGGGTTGAAGCAAGTTCAAGGCCAGCCAAGGCTACATAGTAAAACCCCCTATCAGAAAAAAGAAGTGGTGGGTTAGTCCAGTCAGTAAAGTGCTTGTCATGTAAACATAAAGACCTGCATTCAATCCCCAAAACTTCTGTTCTTAAAAAGAGGGAAGTGGGCTGGAGAGATGACTCAGCAGTTAAAAGCCTGTGCTGCTCTTGCAGAGGACCCTAATTCAGTTCCTAGCACCCATGATGGGCAGCTCACGCCCTCTGTACTCTGTGGGGCACTGGCACTTACGTGTGTACATAGCCACATACACAAACAATTACATGTTATCATCAAAATTAACCCAGGGTGTAGTGGCAGGTGCTCCCAACCAATCAGAAAGGCAAGAAGAGTTAAGTAATGTAGCAGACAGGATGGATGAAGTGGGGAGAGGGTAAAGTGGACAGAGGACTGAACCTTGAGCTCTGGAAGGCTGAGAATCTGCTCGAATGATACTCGGACGTGCAGTGACTCCTCCACGCTCCGATGCTCCGGGGGAAGCAACTCACAAAACCGCCTGTGGGCTCTGGCAGAGAGAGGGGAACTTACTAGTGCCTTCAGGCAGCCCGACTCCCTGTGTTTCCTATACTCCCATTCTGCATTTTGAATGCCGCAGAAACCGGGTGTATTAGTAAGTCACATAACCGGGACTTTCAGTCACTGGATAACCTTCAGCCAGAGAGAAGTCAGTCACAAAGTAGCAGAGGCCTGGAGTCCCTTCTTAGGGTGGGTATTAATGGAGGAGAGGCATGGGTGTCTGCGGACACTGGATCAGGCGCTCTCTGTATAGTCTAGAGATATCCGTGCCGTTCCCTTCGGCTGTCAGGCTACAGAATCAGTCGTCCCACAGATATGGGAACGCCCCAGGAATCTCATGTGAGGAGGATGAAGCCTGGTGTCAGCCAAGGAGGAACTGTCTACGGGGATGGGATAACAGAGTTCCAGTGACTTGTCACCTTTCATAAGAGAATGGAGCGGAGGCTGACGGAAAGGCCACATCCTGACCAGACTGCTTAGTGTCACACACCTTATGCCCTAATTTAAATACAAGCCTCACCTCAGCTAGACATGAAGGTTTACTCGGAGGGAGGGGGTTATCACTGGACCTCTGTGTTCCTTTTCCCAGTGTGGGTACATTAGATACATTTCATTCCTGTGCTTTTCAACATTATCCCTTTAAGGTAGTCCACCCAGCCTAGCTGGTTAGAGCTCCTGGAGAACAAGGTCCTGGACCCTAACAATGGCAGTAACGATTTCAAAGATTCCTAAAGAACGGAGAGGTTAGGGAAGGAGCTATAAGTGACCCTAAACAACGGGAAGAAAAGAGCAAAAACAGGATGTCACTTTCATTCCAGGGACCCCCTTCTCTCACCTACCACCTCTTTCCCAGTGGAATTTCATTGAGGAGACCAGGAACCTCCCTAGGTCAAGCGTCCCGGCCATTAAAGCACTTACAATGTGCTTTATAATCAAGTAACCAGAAACCTCTGAACCTGTTTCCTTGTTCTGTAAGCTCCTCCTGAAGATTTAAGCTATGTGGGACTCACTCAGTGGCTCTTGGGCTCAGTAAACGTTAACGGTTACTGTATTAAACAGGTAAAGTTGGGAGAAGGGTGAGCCAGGCTCCTCAAGGCTTCTTGCTTTTGCCAGAGGGCAAAGTCCGCACAGAGCCACAGCTGTTCCAGAAGATAACAGGAAGCTCAGCAGTGAGGAGGCCAGCGGGGCTCAAACAGCCCACCTTTTCCTGGATACACAGAGTGTATGCGTGGTGCAAAGCTGAGATCCGGGCGCGGGCAAGACTTGCACTCTGGGCCTCCGGTTCTATATCCGCTGAACTTGATATCTGTGAAACCCGGCCCCACCCTCGGAGGAGAGGTGTCCAGTCCGTCCCCCGCTAGGAAAGCACCCCCAGAGCCCCCCTCCCTTGGTAATCCCACGGTGGAGGGCAGGGATTGGGCCAGCACTCACAGAAGGATCTCCTGCTTGGTCAGGAACGTCAGGTCCTGAAAGGCAAATCCAGACAAGGGTCAGCAAGCCGCCGGCAAGCCACGGCTGCTCCGCCGCCGGCTCCCGAACCCTACTCCCCGGCGCGGGCCCGCACGCGAGCTCCGCGAGAACTGATGCCCCGCGCACCTG